ATTTTGACACTTATGCACCTGTAGCGAGAACAACCACTATAAGGTTGTTATTTGCTTTAGCATCTTTAAATGATCTGATTGTTCATCAAATGGATGTTAAAACAGCATTCCTAAACGGAGACCTCGATGAGGAAATCTACATGGAACAACCAGAAGGACACGTCCTTCCTGGAAATGAACAGAAGGTGTGCAAACTTGTCAAATCTCTATATGGCTTAAAACAAGCACCAAAACAATGGCATCAAAAGTTTGACTCTACGATAATGTCAAATGGATTTATTCCTAATTCTTGTGACAAGTGTTTATATACAAAAGTGTATAATAACACTGTAATATTTTTGTGTCTTTATGTTGATGACATGCTAATAATTAGCAATAGACTTAATGGAATTTTAGAAACAAAAAGGTTTCTAACTTCCACTTTCAAGATGAAAGATCTTGGGCTTGTTGACACAATTTTAGGAATAAAAGTTAAGCAAAATAGTGGGGGTTATGAACTTAATCAAACACATTATATTGAGAAAATGCTTGATAAGTTCAAACACCTGAAATTCAAGGAAGTAACTACTCCATTTGATCATGTAATCAAACTTGAAAAGAATGATGGAAGAGCAGTGGCTCAATTAGAATATGCAAGTGCGATCGGATGTCTTATGTACTTAATGCAATGTACTAGACCCGATATATCATTTGCAGTTAGTAAAATGAGTAGATTTACTAGTAATTCAAGTAATGAACATTGGAAGGCAATCACGAGGATATTTGGTTATTTGTTGAAAACCAAAGATCTTGACCTTCATTATGGTAGGTTTCCTGCTATATTAGAAAGATATACCGATGCCCATATTTTAGAAATATTTTATTGTAATTTAAACACATATGAAAAATACTATTAAAAAATTTAAAAATTTATGGGTAATTAAATAGTTTTTAAAATTTTAGAAATTAGCAAGAACTAAAATTGTATTCATAAAATTTTTATAGGGATTAAAATATATTTTCTTTTTATATGGACTATAAATAAAATTATGAGATATTTATAGGTAACAAAAACATATTTAACCCAAAGTAAAAACAAAAATAAATTTAGTCCAAATTTTGACAATATACATTCTGAGTTTTCTTTATATTTCATATATTTATAAAATATTTAAATAAATTTTTTTATTTTATAAAAAAGAGATATTTTAGTATATCGTAAATCTATTTTTTAAAGATAAACTTTTTTTTTAGAAACATTAAATAATTACTATAAATGAACTATATATTTATCAAATATATTATATCTATTATAAATTGGATCTTAGAAAGTATAAATTTAAAATTATCATAGTTATAGCTGTCAAAATGGATTAGCTCGCCAGATTTAAAAACAAAGAATTTGAAATTTAAAATTAAAGTTCATATTTTTTAGGATTTTTTTAATCCAACTCTAAAAAATCTGCTACTTTATTAAAAAGCTATTTCCATTAACTTTTATAATTTTATATAATAAAAATACATCTCAAATAAAAAAAATATTTTACTTATTTATATTCTAAAATATAAACCTTTCCTATAAAACCTTAACTAGAAAAAAACATGCTTATAAAAAATAATCTTATAAACCTAAACTAAAAAAACGTGTCTTTATAAAAATTATACTTATAAAAAGTTTCATTATTTTAATATAAACATACAAAATATTATTATAAAACCTTAGCTAGAAAAAAGACCTTATAAATAGTGTCATTAATTTAATATAAATATACAAATATAAAATCATAGTTAAAAATAATTTAAAATCATAGTTAAAATAGTGTCAAAGGTAATGATACACTGCCATAGTCAGGCCACTTTGGCAAGAGCATTTAGCGAAGTGTATAATGGAAAATCCAGGCATATAGGACTTAGACATTCGTTCGTAAGAAAACTGATTAAGGATGGAATCATTTCACTTACGTATATACGAACAAGCTATAATTTGGCTGATCCGTTTACTAAGCCACTGGCCAGAGACTTAGTAAGAACAACCTCGAGAGGTATGGGGTTGAAACTCCTTGAGTAAGAGTTCCGACAATGGCGGCAACCCAATCTTAAGTTAACAGAACATTAACGTTAAGATTTTCAATGGGTAACAACAAGTCGTTAATTTGGATAATTGTCTAACATTTCATAATTATGTTGACATTAGAAATGAGGGTTGAGTTTTATCTTAAACTCTTAATGAAGTTCAATACCGAGGATACGTATCTATTGGAAACAAATACTATATGAACTTCACCTATGTGAATTATGAGATGGTGCCGTCTCAAAGTGAGAGTTGGAGTTTCTCTCATGAAAAATTCATGAAACAGGATAGCACATGGCCATAAATAAGTGCTAAACGAGTTATGCAGAGGAAGAATCTTTAAGGAGTGTGTGTAAGGTAACACCGGTCTATTCATATGGATTCATGGTTTAAAAGCATTGCTACCTAATATTCCAATTAAACCTTGTGTTATTCTTACTAAGGTTAAGTTTAAAATCGAAAGATACTTAACTGTATTAATACTTCTTATGTACCATTTCTGGAATTATTATTTTGTCATTATTAGAACAAGTGGGGGATTGTTGGAAATAATAATTTATTTCCATTAAAGTTGCTCCAAAATGACAAAGTGGGTGTTATAATAAATGCTTAGTCCCACATTGGAAGAGGAGTAAAATTAAATAGCATTTATAAGGCACTTGGAACAATGTAATTTCCAAAAGAGCCAAAAAGAATAAAGTGCCACATAGTCATATGTGGTGGTGCCAAAACTTATGTCACTTGTCTCATACAAAACACCCCTCGCCGGCTCCGGCTCCGGAACCGGATCCGGGGGCGTGGGCGTAGAGGCGCTAGTGGCGTCTTGTAGACGGAACTTGAGCACTTAGGCACGACGCATCGGAGCAATCGGGCTATTCGCGGCGTTAATGAGGCGGCGCTCCGGCGGGCGGACTTCTGAAATCCTCTTCCATATAATTCCAACGTCTTCCTTGCATTCGAAACTTCACCAGTCTTGTGCAGTTTCGAGAAAAAGGCTGACTTATCCTGGGTATTCAGGGCTTGAAATACTTTTAAGGAAAGTGATTTCGTTCACGATTCAGTCTGGATCCATTCGACATAGAAGGACTATCTAACATGAACGATGTTCACAAGGTAAATAATTTATGTTTTCTATTATCCGTGCAAAGGGTTGCATGTGGATGAACATCACAATTAGATCTCTTGCATGTGAACATTACAATTGAATCTTCTCACTAATTTCTTTTTTCTTTGTCTCTTTTTTAATTGGTTGTTCGATTTTATTCTTACATGAAATTTATTTTGATAGAAATTTATTTTGATATACAATTACTTCATACTTTTAGCAGGTAATTCTGAAGTAGATGCTTGAAATTAATCGTTAAATAAAATTATAATATCAATAAAAAATTATAACATGGAATTAATTCCATGTTATAGTTATTATCCTACTTTTTTTTTATAATCTACTTTTTTATTTACTATCTTACTACGAGAAACTAAACTAAAGTACTAAAACTAAAACTCCATTCACAAAATTTTTATAGTAACTAAAATATGTTTTTTTTTTAATAGGGATTATAAATAAAATTGTGAGATATTTATAGGTACCAAAAATATATTTAACCCAAAGTAAAAATAAAAATAAATTTAATTCAAATTTTGACAATATACATTCTGAATTTTCTTTATATTTCATATATTTTAAAAATATTTAAATAAAAAAATAACTTTTTTTATTTATAAAAAAGAGATATTTTAGTATATCTGCTTCTACATACTTTAGTAAATCTATTTATTAAAGATAACTTTTTTTTTAAGAAAGATTGAATAATTAATATAAAAGAGCTATATATCTAGCAAATATATTTTATCTATTATAAATTGGATCGGAAGGGAGTATAAGTTTAAGATTATCATGGTTATAACTGATAAAATGGATTAGTTCGTCAAATTCAAAAAATCATTGGGTTTAAATCTTAAAATTAGAGCCCATATTTTTTGTTGGTGATTTAGTATCATCAATGTATTTTAGTAGTAATGTGATTTACTGTAGGCCGATGCAATTATACGTTAAGCTTGGAAACGAGTTAGGGTAGTGCGGAGTGCACGCTCGTCGAGTCAACGTACAATTGAATGTGAATAATTGAAAAGGGGTTCCAAGGGGCGGAGCCCCTGGCGGGGTGCGGGGCAACGCCCCGCTGGGGTTCCAAGGGGCGAAGCCCCTGGCGGGGTGCGGGGCGAAGCCCCGTGGGGTTCCAAGGGCAGAGCCCCGAGCAAAATTTTTCTGAAATTTTACTGTTAAGTTTTGAACCCGTTCGAAATTAAATTTAAAAAGATGAACCCGTTCAAAAATTTTGAACAGATGTCCCTTTTCGTTTTCTGTTAATTAATCTCCTATATAAGGAGTCATTTGGCCTCAGTTTTACACACTGAACAAAATTCATATTCTCTCTATATTCTTGATCTGTTTTCTATTGCCAGAAACAGATTGTTCTTCAAAGAATTATCCCCACAAAGATTTCGTGAACCCAGACAAATAATAGGGTCGAAATACTTTGTTCGGAAAGTGTACGAACACGATTCCTCGAAGATATCCAAGATTATTACACCAAATTTCCAACATTTCTTAGGATATTTTTTAGCCTGACTCTAAAAAACATGCTACCTATTAGGGTTTACTTTAAAATAGCAATTTGATTTTTCTCATCTCGCTAAATTTTATCTCTATTCTATTTAATTTTTCTCTTTTAAATCTTATATATTAATATAATCAACACTCTTTTCTCATATTCTATTAGTTTCTCTTAGGTTAAATATTCAATTATCATTTTATACAATTTAAACATGTATTGTTTTAGAAACATATTATAATATTTTTTTTTTGAATCAAGAAATTTGACATTAACTCAAAAAAACAGTACAAAACAAGGCGATCAGAAGATCCAGCCAACAAACAAACAAAACTAATTTAAGGTAAAATCAACCTAGCTATATGTGGTTTAAGCTTAGGACTAGTCCACCCTCTATACATTATGTTGTTTATAATTCTATCTAGGCACTTCCTTTTATCAGTTCTTTGATTAAAACAGGATTCATTTCTAGAAAGCCAGATCTCATGAAGAGTTTCTGTAAGGGCAAACCTAAACAGATCAGATTTCCAGCCTTTCCCACCATAATTTCTTAGAACCCATTGCATTTCCTCTTTTCATCTTTTTGGATTGTGTTGAATACCCATCCACTGAAGAATACCAATCCAGATTTGCTTCAATTCCAAACAGCAAAAAAATAAGTGATCAATGGTTTCCTCTTCATTGCAAAAAACACACTTGTTATTATTGAGCATTCCAAATCTGAAAAGTCTAGACTTGGTAGCTAACTTGTCATGGCAGATCATCCAAAGAGTAATAATTGCACGGGGTCTAGCTCTATTGTGAATAATTAATTTGGCCCATGCAACATTAGGAGTAATAGGTAGAAGGCTTTAATACACTTTTCTCCCATGGAATTTACCTGTCTGCAGCATATCATTCCATGTACTCTGTATAGTCACTAGATTGTCCCTTTGTATTAGAATTGCTTTGAAAATTCTAGAGTCCGATCCCTTAACAATTCTAGTCAGAATACCTTCATGTCTTAAGTAATAAGCATGTATCCAACGAACCCATAAATCATCGGATTTTGCATGGATATTCCAGAGAAGTTTTATCATAAGCATACTATTCCAAATTTCCAAATTCATCACATTTAGTCCGCCTTTCACATGTGGTTTACAAACATTATCCCACGCTACTGGACTTTTCCTACTGATAATATTACCACCTGTCCAGAGAAAAGATTGACATATTGCATTGATCTTGTTGATCACAGTTTTTGGAAACCAAATACATTGCATCCAATAGGTTGTGATGGCATAGAGCATACTCTTGATGAGTTGCAGCCTACCTGCATTACTCAGCAATCTAGAACTCCAGTGAGTTATCCTACTTAATAACCTGTCCAATAACGACATGTAATGGATAACAACAAGACGCTTACTAGTCACCTGAATACCAAGGTATCTAAAGGGGAGAGACCCTTCTTTGTAGGAGGTTAGCTGGAGGATGGCACATTTGACATTTTCGGAAACATTACCAAAATACACCCTACTCTTAGAAGGGTTTATTTTCAAACCTGTAGAATCCAGAAACTTGTTCAAAGTTAATTGTAGAATATCCATGGACACATGATTGCCTCTAGAGAACAGCAAGAGGTCATCAACAAAGGTTAAGTGGGTGATTTGCAGCCTTTCACATTTAACATGGTGGTTGAAATCAGGATTCTTTTGCATTCTGAAAAGTAATCTGCTGAGATATTCCATAATTATTACAAACAGGAGAGGGGATAAGGGGTCCCCTTGCCTAATACCTCTTCTAGCATTGATCTTATCAGTATACTTGCCATTGATATTAAATCTATAAGAAACTATAGTCACAGTGGTCATAATCCAATCAACAAATTTCTTAGGTAATCCTACTTCACTAAGAATATTTTCAAGAGCACCCCAATCAACCATGTCATAAGCTTTTTGGAGATCTAATTGTACCATGCATCTAGGAGTACCAGTATTCCTATTATAACCTTTTAAAAGTTCCATAGCTAGTAAGATGTGAGAATGGATTTTCTGACCTGGAACAAAGGCTGCCTACGCTTTACTAATGATGTTACCCAACACCTTCCCAAGTCTGGTTGTGAGGATCTTGGATATGATTTTGTAGATTGTTGAGCATCCAGCAATTGGCCTGTAATCTTTCAAGGTTTTGGCGTCCGGCTGTTTAGGAATAAGAGTAACAATTGTTTCATTGAAAGCTTTATAAATCACATTCTGCTCAAAGAATTCTGTAACAGCTTCAATAACATCTTTATCAACAATGTCCCAGCTGGCTTTGAAAAATTTTCCTCCATAACCATCTATACCTGGGCTCTTAAGGTCACCTATCCCTTTTAAGGCATTAGTGATTTCAGTAACAAACACTGGTGAAATTAGATCAGCTCTTTGTTCCATGGACAGTTGAGGCCCCTCCCTCATGACATCAATATCAATCATATTTATTCTAGGTTCCCTTGTGCCCATCAATTTTCCATAAAACTCATACACCTCTTTTCCTATGTCTTCCTGGTTGTGAATACAGGTACCATCATCTTTATAGAGTTGGCTAATATTTGTGGCTGTAGTCCTGGATTTGAGGTAAGCATAGAAGAAAAATGAATTCGTATCGCCTTCTCTAAGCCAATTAATCTTTGTCCTCTGTCTCAGCATTTGGTCCTGAAATTCTTGCAGATGGGTCAATTCATCAGTACAAGTTTTAACTTTCTCAATGATCTCAGTATTCATTATGTCCATTATGAGACTTTCCTGGGTTTGTAATAAATCATTCCTTGCTTGGACAATGATCTGCTGGAGGTTTGAAAACTGTTTGCTCAGTCTGCTTAGGGGAGCTTGCAATCTCGTCAGTTTATACCACAGTCTAGCCATGGGTCTGCCAGTAATCTCTTTGTTCCAGTTTTGTTTGACAGTGTCATGATAATCTGCTATCTTCACCACACTATTTGTAAATTTGAATTTTTTGTGTACTGCTCTGTTAATCTTCTCAGCATTCAAGCCTAAAAGGCAGTGATCAGAGATACTAGGAGGGAGAATCTCCAACTTCAAATCAATATTATCCTGCAGTCAGTCTATATTACCAAGAACATGGTCAATTTTTGAATAAATGGTACCTATAGAGTGTTTATTTGTCCAGGTAAAATAGTCACCTGTGCTATCCTTCTCAAACAAGCCAGCATGATCCATCAAGCTTCTGAGATCTTCAAACTCTCTTTCAGTCACCAGGTTCCCACCTATTCTGTCCATAGATTTAGTTACATTGTTGAAATCGCCCATAAGGAACCAAGGGCCCTGTTGGTTGTCATGAATTTGTTTCAAGTCTTCCCACAGTTTCCTTCTTTGCTCAAGTTGGTTCAGCGAATAGATAGCTGTCATCCAAGTTTGGAATACTCCATTTACATCATGGATACCACAATGTATCATTTGTGATGTGCATTTTATCACTCTGACATGCACCGTGTTCTTCGACGGCCGCCCTCGCCCTCACCCTCTTCCCATGAGAGTCCTATAACATATTATAATATTTAAAATAGATAATATAGTACTTAAATATATTATATTTAAAATAATATAATTTTTAATTTTGTTTATAATAAATATTATTGAATTTTTATTTTAATTTTTTATCAGAAAAAATATGTTTGGATTTGGATAACACAAAATCAGTCTAGAGTCGGATTTTAATAGTAATTTTCAAGCTCATATTACATTAGATTTTTTTTAACTCATCTCTAAAAAGTCTGAAGTCCATCAAAGCCGACTCATTTAAAAACGAATGGTCCATTTTAACAACTCTAATCTTGATAGCAATTTTAGCCTCAACCTTAATTTTATGATCGCGTATTATTTTGATAGTAACTAACCACAATCTTAATAATAATAAAGATTGAAAGAAAAAAACAAACAAACATTTATGTGTGCAAAACATAACATGTTACTTTAAAGGATTAAATAATGACACTTTCTTTTACATCTAAATATAAACATACAAAATATTCTTATAAAACCTTAGCTAGAAAAAGTGTCCTTATAAAAAAAATCCTTATAAAAACTTAGCTAGAAAAAAGACCTTATAAATAGTGTCATTAATTTATTATAAATATACAAATATAAAATCTTAGTTAAAAAGGTGTCCTTATAAAAATATTTATGTAAAATCTTAGCTAGAAAAAGCATCCTTATAAAAAAGTGTTATATAAAAAATGTCATTATTTTAATATTTTTGTAATATTTTGATTAAATTAAATTATAAAAATTTTAATTTCTTTCCACTGAATTATAATTCATGATTTAATTCTGAAATTTAAAAATGTGTTGTCACTAATTGAGACATTTAATTCTATAATTTAATTAAAAAAATTGTTTTGAATTACGATTCCACCCTTACATTTCTTTCTTAAACTATACTCTTATTTAAAGTAAAAACAAAAATAAATTTAGTCCAAATTTTAACAATACATTCTGAATTTTTTTAATATTTAATATATCTTAAAAATATTTAGATAAAAAAATTTATTTTTTTAATAAAAAAGAGATATTTTAGTATATCTGCTTCTACATACTTTAGTAAATCTATTTATTAAAGGTAACTTTTTTTTAGAAACAATGAATAATTAATATAAATAAACTATTATCTATCAAATACATTTTATATATTATAAATTAATTACGAAGGAGTATAAATTTAAGATTATTGTTGTAGCAGTCAAAATGGATTAATTCATCATACCCAAAAAAAAAATCATAGGATTTGAACATTAAAATTAGACTATATATTTTTTAGGAATTTTTTTTAGCCCGATTCTAAAAAATTCGCTATTTATTAGGGTTTATTTTAAAATAGCACATTGATTTCTCATCTCACTAAATTTTATCTCTATTTTATTCAATTTTTCTTTTTAAAATCTTATACATTAATATAACCAATATTCTTTTCTCATATTCTATCTGTTTCTCTAAATATGTGTTGTATTTAAAAACATATTATAATATTTAAAAAGGATAATATAGTATTTAAAAATATATTATATTTTAAATAATATAATTTTTAGTTTTATTTATAATAAATATTATGAAATTTTAATTTTAATTTTTTATAATAAAAAAATTTGTTTGGATTCGAATGGTGTGAAGCCAGTCTAAAGTCGAATTCTGGTAGTAATTTTCAAACTCATATTATAAAAGGATTGTTTGTAATATTTTTAAGAAAAAACATCCTTATAAAAGTGTTTTTATAAAAAGTGTGATTATTTTAATTTTAATTTTTTTTGACTGAATTAAAATTCTTGATTTAATTCCGACATTTAAAAATGTGTTGTCACTAATTGAGACATTGAATTCTATAATTTAATTAAAAGTGTAGTGTTGTTGCACTCTCTCTAAATTTAATCAATTAATTATTTTTTATATTTTAAAATAATCTATTCATTTTTTTAAAATAGATTTTAAAATTATATTCCATATTTACAAATTTCTAAGCATCTAAATATAATAATATAATTTTTAAAAAAATATTTCATTTAAATTTTAAAATTTAATATAATAAACTGTCCTTA